TATATATAGTTTCATAGTATGATATATTTTACTTTAATTAATCGTAATTAATTTTAAAATATTTTTGTAAAGAAAAGGTTTAAGTTTTCTTAATTGGTAGATTTAAAAGGGTTAAAGCCCCAAATTGTGGTCCAATTTCGTGCTAGAAGAAGCCCAAATCTAGGCAGCCCGTCCCTTTCCACTTAACTCCACAGACCCGCCCCAAATACCCACCAACCCGCCCCATTTTCTGATTTAATCTCAGCCATCCATTCACCAAATCCAACGGTTCACCTTATTTCCCCCACACCAAATATAACCTCAATTTTTCCCAATCTAACCCTAAACCTAAAGATACAAGCTTCAGCCACACCCCTAACCCCCATCTCCATGCTATTGCCGCTTCCAACTCGCCCAAACTCGCCGGAATCGGGCGAGTTCACCCTCAACGAGTCCCATGGTCCCCCCCTCTCTTCTCTCCTTCTTCCACGTCACTCATTTCGTACAAATCTCATCATTTCAATCCGACTCACACAAATTTCTTCTTTTATTTTCCTTTTGTTTAAACACAAATCCGAGGCCCTTGAATAAATTTGGGAGAAATGGGAACCGTTGGATGAAGATTTTTGTCCTAAGTCTCCATTTTTCCGATTTTTGTTTGTGAAAGGGGGATTTTCAGATTTGATTTTGGGTCCCACATGATTTCTTGCTGAGGAATAAGAAGCTTCGAGAGAAGGATATATATTTGGAGCCTTTAGACAGAGAAAAGGGGAGGAGGGGAGATTGAGAAAAAGCACTTGAAGAAATTAGGGTTCTAGGGTTCTTGAGGCTTTCTTCTGATTCTTCCATTTTTATTTTTTTATTTTTCGCTTCCAGAAAATCAAAAAAAAATAAAACAAAAAAAATAAATTATTTTCAGTTTCTGTTTTCATTTTCCGTCATGGGATTCGATTGAAGCGTTATTGAGTGCTGAAGATTTGTTCGCCAGTCTAGGTGTTCGTGTCCGCGTTCCCTGAGCTGGCTTCCTCCTCTGTTGCTTCATTGTTGACTCTGGATTTTCAGTAGGTGTTTTCGTTCTCAAGTTCGTTACCAAATCCTCTTCTGTTGTAATCGATTCCTTCATAATTAATCGAAAGCTTAATTTCCAGGTTCGTCTTTATTCTCTTACTCTGTTAATGTTGATTCGAAGTATGATAAAATGGACTTAGAAGTTTGAATTTGCTTGACATGTTTTAGAGATAAATAATCGAATCTGGGCATTAACATAGACAATCTCATGATTTTCATATAGTATTAAGTCTGGATTAAGTTACACCATCATGTGTTCTGCTGTGTCCTGTGTATGCATACGTCTTATAATATTAGAATCTGTTCGAGTCTAACACGATCGACTAAAGTAGGATTCTGTTTGTGATTGAATGGATTCCTGAAATGTGCCACTCTGTTTGCTTTGTGTCGCTACGTGTGTCATTTTAGTCTTCTTTATTCTTCTCCGATGGACTCGTATAAAGGGTCAAATGACGCGGATATGTGTTTGAATTTATGGATCTATGTCACTTGTGCTATTAGAGATACTTGACGAGATAATCAGCATATGTTATGTGCTTTTTCTTTTTTCAAATCAGTTTTTGAAAGGCTTTTTAAGTTTGTGAACTCCAACTGTTTGCTTGTGGGATTTTAAGGTAAACGGGGAATTGTTGAATATTTCTTGACTTGATGGAGTACTTCTTGATTACTGGATAATGAAAGTTTGGTAGTATGAATCATTGGAGATTGCAATCATTTTCTTGCATTTGATTAATACACCTTCTGTTATTAAGGCCAGATTGAGGACTAGACTGAATTTTGTTGTTTAATAAATGGAGTCACTTTTTTTTTTAAATGAGATGTTGAGTAGTATAAATATTGATGTAGGTTTTCAATATATATTTTAGTTTGATTGAACTTTTTCTTGTTCTTTCTATTGAGATTTAGCCTGTGGAAAGATATTTGCCCATCAAACTTTTCTTGCCTTACTGTACCCCCTCACTTTTTTTGAATTAAAAGAAAGGAAAAGTGCATTTAGCTGAACCAGAATGAGCTAAGTAAGTTGAGCTAATTTGTTTAGCAATTCATATTGTCACATGTTGTGTGTTTCTCGTGCACCCTTTTAGCTCTTGAATTTGGTATCTTCGATTTTGTGGTGTTAGTTGTTTGGTTGTTATTTGCTCAAACATTGTTGTTGCTTTGCTGAAGTCACGCTCTTGTTTGTTTGATGAATTGGATTGTGGGAGTGGGAAAAGGCCGAGCCCATTAGTAATTGATTTGTTCATATCCTTCAGGAATTGGGGCTTGGTCAAATGCATGAAAGGAAAATTAAGAAGGGAATGAGCATGAAATTAATTTCTGTTTCTTTCAATTTTATTTATTTTACTTTCATTACATCTTCCGATAGGAGCATGCTTAGGCCGACAACATTTGGGTAGGCAAGCTTTAGGACTTTTTTGTTAATTTAGTTAAATTTATTCGGGGAATGCCCCGAAGGACTTGTATATATTTTATTCTGGGGAATGCCTCGTAGTACTTGTATTTGAAGGCCAAAAGTACAACTTGCAGTAGTTTATTTTTATTAGGTGGGGACGACCTCGAGCCTTTTTGTGTGTTTATTTTTCTATGATTATTTTACCTCAATTCAAATAGTCTAAAAGCCAACTAGATCGAGTATGCAACCGTGACTTTCACGGGACTCGGGGAATGCCTAACACCTTCTCCCCGAGTCAAATGAACCCCCTTATCAAAATCTCTGATGTAGATTTAGTTTTAGAGTTCAAAGTGTTTTGAAATAAAAATAATTATTTTTGAAAAAACGATGACCTGATGTCAGGTGGCGACTCTGAGTTTTCCTTTTTGAATACAGTTTTTGTCACTTTTCAAATTGAAAACCCTTTTCATGCTTTTTACTAAATTTTTTTATTATTTTAAGAAGGTTTAGTGAGGTTTGGAATGAAAAAGGGGTGACAGGGTAAAAGTCAATTGGAGTCAAATGGGATTACAAAACCAAACTCAATGAGAATGGTGAAGTTGACAAGTACATGGCGCGTTTGGTGGCCAAAGAATATAAGAGTATGGTGTGGAGTACAAGGAGGTCTCCAGTAGTTAGACTTGATACCATTAGGTTGGTGGTAGCATTGGCAGCCCAAAACAACTGGCCAATTTATCAACTAGAAGTGAAATCGACCTTCTTACATGGCGAATTAAAAGAGCGGGTATATCTAATAGATCAACCCTCTGGATATGTGAAGCAAGGCAGGGAACATAAGGTTTATAGATTGAAAAAGGCATTGTATGGGCTAAAACAAGCTCCACAAGCTTGGTATAGTCGCATTGATGATTATTTCAATATGGCAGGTTTTAGAAAATGCCTATATGAGCATACGCTCTATTCAAAAATTGAAGATGGAAAGCTTGTCATTGTATGCTTATATGTAGATGATTTGATCTATACTGGAAAATCCTATATTGCTTAAAAATTTTAAGCAATCGATGTTGACTGAGTTTGGTATGTCGGATCTTTGCTTGATGTGTTATTTTCTGGGCATTAAAGTGAAGCAATCTTCTATCTGGAATTTTCATTTCTGGGCATCAAAATCTTCATTTTGATGAGGTTTGAAATGCCAAAGTGCAATTCTGCAGGGACGGGGCTGAAGTTGGAAAAAGATCTTACAGGGAAGAAGATTGACAGCACCTTCGACAAGAAGATAGTGGGGAGTTTGATGTATTTATTAGACCTGATATAATGTACTCTGTAAGCTGATACATAGAATATCCTAAAGAGAGAGACTCACTTGTTGGCATTCTCAACGTACTATTGATTTTGTCATTTTGTACAAGAAAGAAGGAAAATCAGATTTAATCGACTCTACAGAGCGATTTTGCTGGAGATAGGAAAGCACATTAAGTTATGTCTTTATGTTTGGATCAGGTGCAAACACATGGATATTTTCTAACTCTAGCTAGTATGAAGCTCCGAGTGATTGTGTGCATGAACCACACTCCTGTACAAGCTAAGTACCATTAGATTCAGTCCGATTGTATTTCTTTCAATGGATCCACCGAGTTATATCTAGCAGGGTCTTTATTTCTGAGGATCAAAATTAGCTACTTAGTTCCAACATCAAAAAACTTGTAACCATGAGGATGGAATATATAATGGATGATATACCACACTAACATTAGCGTCTTGTAGAACCAACTGCATGGTTCAGTTGAAGGGTACTCCCTCCGTCCCAATTTATGAGGCGGTGATTGTTTGACCAAAAAGAGTTAAGCTTTTTGTTAAACTAATTAATGAAAAAAAATAGAGAATAAATCTTAGTCAAGGATAATTAACTCTAGATCTAAACACATCGAATAAGATATAATCAAGCTTATAAACTTTATAAGATATCAAATGTAAATGATAGGCTTACATTCTTGACATATTATCCCATGATGTAGTTATATAGACGGAAAAGATGGAATGCCATCGACAATGACGAGATCTATCTTTATTGATTCAATAATCACTATTACAGAGATTTGTATTCACTATCTAAACCTTTTCTTGGTTTTCTTCCCTTTGTCTTTTTAGGAGAGAAAGCCACCTTTTTAAGAAGTCCTTTCTTCCTATTTATAAGGGATATCCCTAGAAAACCCTAAAAAAAAAATACAATTAGAGGGAATATCCAGAAGAATATATTCCCTTTGAAGATTCCAAAGCAAAACTAGTTGTTACATCTATCTGCTCGGCCTCGGCCTTATAGATCACTACTCGACCTCGGCCTTATACATCACTGCTCAGCCTCGGTCTTATAGATCACTGCTCGGCCTCGGCCTTATTGATCACTTCGATTCGCAGGTTACTCATGACAATTATTTCCGCAAGTCGAATTTCTCTGATTTGATTTTGACCCATACAAGAATCAAACAAGTTTTTCTTTGATAGGGATTTTTTCATATGTGTATAATATTTTTTACGTAGTTTCCAACTATATAAATTTTATTTAAAAAAACTCATAGATTTTATGTCTAAATTTACTGTCAAAATGTAAAAGTTTTACTCTCGAAATCCGAATTACACCAGATAAATTGGGACAGGAGTATTTACTAACGCCAGGCATATTTCGAGAAGTTCTAAGGATGTCTGTAAGTGGAGGTGATGGTCGCTAGCCTTTCTTATGAAATAGTAGTTTGTACTGTAAAAGAAAACTAACATGGTAAGGGGAAATTTTAGCTGATCTGACTTGGAAATGGAAATTCTGGTAACTGATATATCAGTTACCGACGTACTGTATTTTCAGCAAATTAACACGAAAATTTATGCATATTTTTGTTACAAAATTTGGTTTTGTGATTTCCTGCGACAGATTATTAGTTCGATGATCATCCCAGAATTATAGAAGGTTCACACCTTAGAGATATTTGTCACATATGCTATCTTGCCAGACAAAAATAAAATAAAGAAACAGTATAACTCATAAATCGAGTTATTCGAATTGTTTAAGAAAAAATAATCAAGATTTCCGCAAAACATAGAGAGAAAAAAAGAAGAGAAAATCGATCGAATAAGCAGCATTTACCGTTTACTTACTCTTTACTTTATTTTGGGCTAAATGTGTTTTAGTTTTTCTTTTCACAAGTTAACAAGGGTAGAGAAATTATGATTTTCCAATAATGGCCAGGAGGTAATAAATTCGATTAGGATGGACGCAAATAATTTTGCAACAATGACCGGGAGGTAATAAATTTGATTTGTATGGATAATATTTGCGCACCTCTACCATAGATATTGTGAAACAAACATGCATGAAATACATGGTTAAGATTAATGTCATTGATTGAGAAGCTTTTAGTATCTTTCTTTTCTTTTTTTCTTCTTAATTCTCCATTTCTTTGAAGCTAAAACGCATGAAAATCACGCATAGTCCATTTTTTCTTTGCTTTCGCTCACAATGATTCCTATTACTTTAATAGTTTAGCTAATGTCACATACCATGTATAAAAAAATATACACTATTATATTACTTAAAAAATACCTACATGCTTATCCATGGTAAGTGGAATTTGTAATTTTAAAAGTAAAGCAACCTTTGATGACAACGGGTAAAATAACATTGAGAGTGCACAAGTACTTTACACTTATCAGTAAATATAAGTTAATCCTTACTTTAATTGCAAACTCAAAATCATTTCACTGTCCACCTTTGAGATTAATCTTATGGGAATGTACCCAAAAATGCTACTACTTATTTACCAACAACTAGCTATTTAATCATGTTATCAAAATAATTATCAATGATATACAACATTCAAAAAATATAGGTAAAAAAATGATTTTTTTTTAAAAAAATGAGTACTGTTGCGATTCGTTAAAAACACAATTTTGACGAAGTTTGAAGGTGAGTTAAACTAGGTTGGAGTCAAAATTCATTACCAAATGATATACAATTTTTTTTTTAAAATTGGCAAAAGAGGATTTTTTTTTTCACTACGTGTGGTTGGAATTTGTTGAAAACATATAAATAAGGCAATATATAAAATTTGAGCAATATTAGAGGTGATTTAGTTTGGTATCAAAATTCTTAGTTAAAATCAAGTTGAAAAAATTCTTTTGTGACACATGTATCATGCATGTATCTCACACACAGGTATACATGGATATACATGTGATACATATTTAATACACATATAATACATGTGATACAAAAATGATATACATAACGCATATCATCTTTTACTTCGAATTTTCAATTCAAACTATCTCAAAACTCCACCAAATCATCCCAAAATTGAGATTCAAACTCTTTTAAGATGTACCCAGTCTATTCCAACAACACCCACTCAAGATAAATTTTGATTTCGAAAACCCAAATTTTTGAATTTGAGCTTTGTATGGGTCAAAATTAAGTCTACTTTAGCGAATGCAGACGGACGAGCTGAGCCCAGGGTTGAAATCAAGCATGGTTCAGCGGCGAGGAGTCGCTCAGAGAGAGAGAGAGAGAGAGAGACCAGCACCGAGGTCGAGTAGAGAACAAACGGTTGCAACTGTTAGAATATTCCTAGGATTATGAATAGGAATATTCCATTGAATATTCTCCCATTTATACTTTTTTAGGATTTTCTAGAGATATCCCTTATAAATAGGAAGAGAGAGGAAACAAAAGGGAGGAGGGAACTTTTATGAAAGATCACCTTGTAAAGAGTTGACTATCAAGAATATACAAAAAGCCTATCTTGTCTCCTCTGTTTGATTCCATTACAAAACATTCCTTTTTTATTCACAAGATCCAAGAACACGTTGTTTATTCCCATAAGTTTGCTGTCACATGCTATAGTCAGAAGAAGAAATCATCCATCCCACTCAACACTTGGGTAACAAATTCCTTCTTATTACATTTAATATCATTTGTCATATTTATTGCATGTCTTCATCCTCATATTTATTAAGAGTCATTGAGCATTAACTTAGCATCCATTGACTTGAGCACGGTCCCATACCCTCCAAGTTGCTGAAATTTAGATCTGGGATTTATTACTTTTAACTTAGATTCACCCTTTGTCTATTTATTAAATTGATTCAACAAAAAAGGCTTAAAACTTTTTGGTCGAACAATGTGATGACCCAAAAGGTCATCACCTATTTTTTAAAATGAATTTTGCGTTTTGAGGCCTTAAAAACCTCTTTTAGTCTCACCTCAATTTGCGTGCATAATCCGGACGTGTATTCGGAAAGCCAATATGTGAAAATCTATGAAAAATGATAAATTTTGACTTTAATATGAATTAATTTGATTTCGGTCAATATTTTGGATAAACGGACCCGGACCCGTGATTTGACGGTCCCGGAGGGCCCGTAAAAAAATATGGGACTTGGGCGTATGCCCGAATCGAATTTCGAGGTCCCACGCCCGAGAAATAAATATTTTAAAGAAAATTGTTTTTTTAAATTATTTATGAGATTTCGAAGAGAATTGTGATTAGAACTTGATGGTATCAGACCTGTATTTTGGTTCTGGCGTCCGGTACAGGTCTTATATGTGATTTAAGATAAGTCTGTGAAGTTTGGTAAGAAACGGACTTGAAACGACGTGAATCGGATCATTTTGAGAAAATTGAAAATTTGAAGTTCTTAAGGAAATTTCATGATTTTGATGCTAAATTCATAGTTGTTGATGTTATTTTAGTGATTTGAATGCACTAACGAGTCTGTATGATGTTTTTAGGTTGGTGTGCATATTTGGTTTGGAGCCCCGAGGGCTCGGGTGAGTTTTGGATAGGACACGAAGTGGATTTTAGACTTGGTGAATTGCAGGTTTTAGCTAGTGTGTCTAGGCCTGCAGGCTTCGCATTTGCGAAGCCTGGCTCGCAAATACGATATCGCAAATGTGAGGGCTGTGTCGCAATTGCGAAATCAGCCCAGGCCAGCCCATCTCGTAAATGCGAGGTTTTTGATCGCAAATGCGATTTCCCCATTTTCAGCCAACAGTCGCAAATGCGACACAGTGTTCGCAAATTCCATCTCGCAAATGCGATAACCCCTTCACAAAAGCGAACATAGCAGGGGTCGGGGTTCGCTGCAACCTGCAACCTTTTATACTTAGCCAAAAAACAACCATTTTCTCCTCTTTTCAAAATACAAACTTCCTAGGGCGATTTTTCAAGAATAACTCTTCTTTCAAATCGATTGTAAGTTAATTTTAACTCATTTTCTTCAATCATTAACATCTTTTAACATGATTTCAACTCAAAATCAATGATTTTCATGGGAAAAATTGGGTGTTTTGGGTAGAACCTATGTTTTTAAAAAATTGGGGATTTGGACCTCGATTTGAGGTCCGATTTCAAAACAAATTATACATTTAGGTTCGTGTGGAATGGGTAATCGGATTTTGGTTCGAACCTCAGGTTTTGACCATGTGGGCCTGGGGGCAATTTTTGACTTTTGGGTAAAACTTGGGAATACTCATTTTCATGCATTGGAGTTGATTCATTTAGCGTTTATTGATGTAATTAAGTAACTTGTGGCTAGTGTCGAGCGAATTAGTTGTGGAATCAAGGGGTAAAGCGATAGTTGAGATGTAAATTGTG